AAATGATTACCGATATTCTTTTGGCAGATTCACTCTCCTTCAAGGAGAGCCAATCCCTACGCTCAAGGCTATTCTTCGCGGAACAACACCTTTTCGGGCGAATAGGGATGGCAACCCTCAAGTCTTTACGGGTATATGAAAGCGTGAACCTGTTGCAACCCATTCCGCAACACCTCCGCTGCATGTTGTCAGCCATGCGCCTGCGCTTGGCAGACAACCAACCACGCCCCGTGCCGCTACTGCCCAGGAAGACTTGGCACGTGTTCACTGATGGGGCACAGGAGGACCACACCTCCATTGGTGGGATCCTCACTGATTCCTATGGAGCGCCGCAATCTTTCTTTTGCGCCATGCTCCCAGAATCCGTCACGCGCCTGTGGCCCCAGCATCATGTTCTTCATTGTGAGCTTCTCCCGGTCTTATTCGCCCTTCTTGCTTGGGATTCCACCTTGAAGAATTGCAATGTATTTTTCCACTTGGATTCCGAAGCTGCGCGTCATTGTCTTATCAAAGCTACATGCGCCCAGAAGCAGGCGCAAGAAATCATGAATGCTTTTATGATATTTGAATCACAAGCCGCGATTACTCCTTGGTTTTCCAGATTGTGCAGCGAGTCAAACCCCGCTGATGCCCCCAGCCGACTGGATTTTTCCACCAATTCTACGCAATGTCCGCAAGTTGTCGTTTCAGATCATGCACTTTCAGAGCTTTTGCGCGCGGTTCATTCCTCTGAACCCCTGGCCTCCTAGTGATGACGGGGAGATACCTTCGGCCCCGGGGTTCCTTGAACAATGGGAATATTCAACCCCAGGTCCTCGTTACCTTTTCGCTCGTTTCACTTGCCCCCCTTTTTGTTCTTCATCTTATGATACCCAACCTCTTTTGGGTTTTCTTGTTATTCCTTTTTCAGAGGGGGCTTGAGAAGGACAGTGTCTCCCTGTCTGATTAGAGGACAACTCCCCGTGCTTTTGGTAGGTCAGCGAGAAAAAGATGCTTCGAGCGACCGCCTCGATTTCGCAACACTGTCATGTTGCCCTCGTGACCTATTTGTTTGGTTTTCAAAGACGGTTCTAAACTCATGTACTGGTTTCCCTCTCCCCTGACAGTTGTAGCTTTTGGGAAACAGTTCTTATTCTTCATAGTGTGGCTCGAGAACAAACGAATCACAGAATGAGAAATTAAGGTATGCTTCTGATAAGACGCTCCTTTAATTTCACTTGACGTTGAATCGGTTGTGTGATTAGTTTGGGCTCGAGCACACTCGGCTTCATTTGAGAAGCACTCGCAACATGTGCTTCCCCTTCATGTGCAACAAACATTGTATTTATTTTTGACCCACCCGTCCCGCCCTTGAGCTGCAATTGCCACGCTCGGTTTTCGGGTTGCGCCCGACGCCCGACACAGGTCGCCAGGTGTGTTTGTCATCCGGCTCTTTGTCGGCAGCATCCGGCACCTGTGTTCCACAGGACTTCCGCACATTAGCCTTTGTCGGCGATGTGCCCATGCCCATATGCCATGTTGCGTCCCTGTCGCCATACATGTCCGCCTGTCAGGTACATCGTGAGGCCCCCGCTCTCACCGGTACGGATCGATGTCTTTCAGAAAAGGGATGTTCAATGGAACATTCAACCGAGAACGTTCAATCCCAGGCCTGGGAATATTCAACCCCAGGCCCTTGTTACCTTTTCGCTCGTTTCACTTGCCCCCCTTTTTGTTCTTCATCTTATGATACCCAACCTCTTTTGGGTTTTCTTGTTATTCCTTTTTCAGAGGGGGCTTGAGAAGGACAGTGTCTCCCTGTCTGATTAGAGGACAACTCCCCGTGCTTTTGGTAGGTCAGCGAGAAAAAGATGCTTCGAGCGACCGCCTCGATTTCGCAACACTGTCATGTTGCCCTCGTGACCTATTTGTTTGGTTTTCAAAGACGGTTCTAAACTCATGTACTGGTTTCCCTCTCCCCTGACAGTTGTAGCTTTTGGGAAACAGTTCTTATTCTTCATAGTGTGGCTCGAGAACAAACGAATCACAGAATGAGAAATTAAGCAGTGACCAAGAGTCTAACTGCTATGGCGTCTCTCATCTGACTCATCAACATGATGATCTCACTCTGTGGTCCTCCAGCTTGGGGACTTCCATCTGCCATGTTCACGTCCAACGTGAACTCACTGCAAATATGAAAATCTGCAAATCGCACAAGCAAAAGCAAGGCCGGCTGCGGCTTCGGTCCAAAAGCGAGGCTTCGGTCCAAAGCGACTCAATGGGTTGTTGCAAAATTAAATTACGACAAGGACAATATAGATACGGATATTGCGCAGTAGTCCGACTTGCAAATGAGCAATCGCTAAGCCGCTTGCCTGCTACGCTCACATGAGATCCCTTTTCATGCAAACAGCGCGATGCCAATTGAGGGGAAAAAGTGAGGGGAATAGCCAGTGTTTGGAGATGTTCATACCGTGCAAACATGCAGCAATCAAAAGGGTCTGCAAGGGCTTCCGGCCCGCCGACGCAGTGGAAGCTTAGGCGCCAGCTTTGGCCGTTGGCGAGAGCCCCAAGGTGGCCGTTAGCAGCCCGGCGCAGTACTGCGGGCTTAGACTGAAGGCGGGGCACAAGGATCCAAGCCGGGGCAGGCGCCGAACAAGGCGCCGCAAGGCTGGGCTGGCTGCACAAGACGTGCCTCTCCGGGCTTGCGAAGAGGTGGGCCGACTTTTCCCCGAGGTGCACGACCACTTGGACTGCCTGTGCGGCCGTCGAAGCGCCTCCACTCGCTGATGGGCGGAAGGCCCGTCGAAGGCCAAGAAGCACACGGTGCGGTGCTCCTTCAGCGCCGGGTTGTAGCTGTCCACAAGGTCGCCCTGCGAGCTCAGCACGCGCATCGGGGCGTTGCGCCACACGCAGAACTCTCGCACTTTCTGGTGGAGATGCCGGCGTTCAGCTGCAGCTTGGCCAGCTGCCGGTGCCACCATTATCTCAAGCATTTTGGCGCATTCGCCCTGCAACCCGCTCTGAAGGTTGGGTTGGGAAATGCGTTAATGGTTCTCGGCTGTTTTGACTTGCAGAGTCTGGACACGGAAGGCTGGGGCAAACTGATTTTGTTGCGTGGATGACAAGGTGGCGCGTCATTGCTTTAGCGCGCTGGCAGTGCAACGGGGAGGTTTGGTTTTGGTGTGGTTCTTGTTTAGGGTTGGTTTAGGGTTGACCGTCTAACACGTAGGGCGGTTCATAAAACGGTGAAGGGAAACTGCAAATTGTTGGACAATAAAAACAAAGCTGGACATTTCTTAATGTCAAGGTCCATTGCTTCAGCATTGAATAAAAAGGACACTAAAGAAAACGAACACAACAAACATCTGCTAACTGTCGCAACTGGCTGCATGTGGCCCAAGTGTTTGGCAAAATGGTGAAAATTGTGGCATTAGGTAAAATGCGCTAACTGCGCCCATTCGCAAGTTTTGTTGTGTTTCCAACAAAAATGGACTTTGTGTTTTGCCTCCAAAATTCCAAAAGACTTACGACGCGGTCAGACCGTTTTCACACAGTGGCTGAACGGACAGAACGCAGTTGTCGTCGTCGTTGACTGCAATGATCAGGGAGCCACAGCAAGACAAACTGTGTGTTGGTCTGTCACTCATCATGACATGATGCTGGCACTAACCGGGCTTTTTGTGTCAGTGGGATAGTGGAACAACGACAATTGAGTGACAATTGCATTCAGTATACAAGACATTTCTTTTGCTATCATGATTTTTCAATGATTGTACATGTTTGAATGTTTGTTTTTGCATACTGTTTTTTTTGGGGGGTATTTTTTTGCATTTTGCACGTTTTAACATATTTTTTGTTTGTTTGCACCTTTTGTTTTTTGCACATTGTTGCAGATTAAATGCAGCAATAAGATAGTTTTGAGACAGGGTCTAATCCCCGTAGATTTAATACCCATGATACACTTGATGAGTTTGTTTCGTTCGGCTTTCAAAGCCTGAGAGGCTCAGCCATGGCATGTTCGCGGGCATCATCCAGTTGCCCGGGCAGCTTGCAGTCATCTAGTGTCGCCATTGAAAGCACGAAACCACGCAGTTCAAATATACGCAAATGGGTTGAGAACTTGGAACCGCAGTTGGACCTGGGTCGGTGAGTTCACAAAACTAGCTTCCACTTACTTGAATTAGTATTGTTGGATTTAAGTTGGTTTAGTATTGCTGGAGTTTCTTTTTGAACTTGATTTGAACTTCCACTCACTTGATTTAGATTGCTGGAGCTTCCTTTTGAATCTGATTTCAGTGCCATTTGATTTAGTATCGAGGGATTTCACTTTCATTTGATTTAGTTTTGCTTGAGTTTCTTGTTGAATGTGATCTGTGCGTCCCCTGTTTGATTTAAACTGTTGGATTTGAGTTTCTGTTTGATTGAATTGGGTTTGACTTGATTCAGTATCTCTGGAACTGAACAAAAAATGCGTGCGGCCCAAATGGCCCAAATGAAAAACATGTGGATCCAGATCATTAACTTGGCCTGGGCATTCATGTGGGGTACTCTATGTGACCTTCTCAGACTATATTCTTTTTTGAAAGGGATATGACCGAGAAAAATATGTACTTTCTGAAAGCCAACTTGTTTTTTGGGATTCATAGAATTCTGGTTGATGATGCTTGTGTTGGTTTGGCAATGGAAAGCAGATGTCAGCAAGGTTTGGATGCAGCAGCGTGGACAAAAACATAGCAGCGGCATCACCAGGGAGGATTATTAGGGATTTAAACTCTTTATTTGGGTGGGGCCTCCTGAATTTTGGGGTCGTTTCTGGGGCCCGGTCTAACTTTTTTTTTTTGAAACACGCTTATTCAGGTGAATTCCAGTTTGTTTGGTCTTGGGGAGGCCTTGGGGGGGTTGAACACCATTACTTCATTAATGCGGGCCTGACATGAATTGTGAGTTTTGGTGTCACAAATGCAAAACAATGGGTGAAATTTGGGCATTGCAGTGCATGGAGCTGGTTTGGTTCCCGCAGTTCGGATCAATGCTGACAGCAGTATATTCTTGATCGATTTCCAGGCCCACGGTGACGGCATGACACCGTCAGGAGTTCCGCGAACTTGCACCATGACAGGTTGCCATTACGTTTTGATTCATTCAAATTTTGACAGTTGTTTATGGGCTTCAAGCAGAAAGATATCAATTTGGGAGAAGCGGAATGGTTACGAAGCCCAGCTTGATTGGCATTTGCCGGTTTGTGTGCCCTGCAGGTCTTCGCCATGCAGTCTATGCCTGCAATGCCGTCACGGCCTCATTGGCCAGCCGCACTTGTGGGGGACTCTTGCCCCATGGCATAGTAAGACGTTTTGATGAAGTTGACATCCCTGGCGGCCAAATGATTTGATAGGCCCACCAGCGGCAACATGAGATCTCCTCAAGGCTTTCAGAGCGCACAAGCCTGAGTTGTGAAGCATGCACTTGAGGAGTGCTTTTTGAAGACTTGATTTCGGTGGTGCCTTGTCAGATGCCTCCAATGGGCGGTCCGCAGGCCGCGTGACACACGTAGCTTTGGTGCAAACCGACAGCTTGTGTTCTTATCCGTTGGATGTTTGTGAGTGGTTGGTGATGTTCAGACTTGCCTGCCTTGACGCTTGATTTTTGGCTTTTTCGAATCTTCATGAAGCAGTCTTTTGCGTTGCTCTGTTCTTCAATTAGTAGGCGGCAGGAATCCACACGTTGAGGGAAGACCCACGTTTGTGCGGGCAAAGCAATTCAAACATGCATGGCGTTGCTCACTGCAGGGCGCTGGTCCACCGATGACCAACTTCGGCGCGATGGCAAGCTTCTCAGAGAGAAGGTCTTAAGTTTGGTGAGATCTATTCTGGAAGCTTTGAAGTTGAGTGCACTACGGAGTCTGCATCACTTTTTTTTTTCACTTGTGAGACAAGTGCATGGCAAACGAAGCGTGGCGAGGGTTCGTGGCGTTTTTGTCCCATGTCGCAGGGCAACGTTCCAAGAACTTCGATCCCGGGGCCGGGGCCTGAATCGGAGAATCCGAAGAGCGAGGAGAGACGTGCTGAGGACTGGCATGCCAGGCCTGGGATCGCGCCCTTCCGATTGGCCGTTCTCGGTTCGGCTTCGGCTCTCCTGTGCAGGAGTGCCAAGAAGCGGGCCACCCATGTCGGCTGCCTCTATGCAGGGCGGCTACCAACCAGGCCGTTGCTTGAGCCTTATGGCGTTTCGCCTTGACACCGTGCCAGGGCCCATGAACTCCATGCCGGGCATGGGCTCAATGCCAGCCATGCCAGGCCATGCGAGCTGGGGCAGGGGTTTGACGCAGCGAAATCACAAATTTAGCATGCCAATGAGGTCTCGGCGTGCGCAGAGTTGGCTTTGCAGAGATAAGGAGAGTCCTCTTTCCCCAGCAGATGCAGATCGTTGTGCATGAAACACATCCCATGCTTTTGCTTCCAGCGAGTCGCGCCTAGCTTACCCCGTGCCATGGCGTTGCGGTGGGAAGCCCTTACGGCGCGGGCCGTCGGTTTGCCACAGCGCCAGGCGTGACGGTTGTGCGAGGGCAGTCCAGAGGTTCAGAGGATGTGTCAATTTCTTGCCTCGGTCTTGGCACTCTTCTTTGTTGGGTTGAGGAGCGGGGGCTGGACGCTTTTGGGAGCTTCCCCTGTTTTGAGAACCCAGGGGATGTGGACCGACCAGACATCAGGTGTCGCGGCGTGACACCTTTGACGGACACCGCAGGAAGATGTGGCCATGCCGTCTCGTGAAGAAGCAGCTGATCAGAGCCTGAGCGCCCTTTGTGATGCAAAGTTGCCGCTTTTCGTTGCTACAGTTGGGATTTTGTTGAATTAGATCCGCATTTTTTTTTTTAGCAGTTTCCCTACCAGACTTCCTACAAGCTTTCCTTCCAGATTCCTTATGTACTGAGTTTCTTTTGAGGTCTTGCGGAACTTGGGCATGGACCTTACCAACGTGGAAGATTCCCTCGGCTACTTGGACTGAGCGACCAGACGTCCTTTGTGATTTGCGCATCCCTGAGGCCACCGCGACGTAGCCACTTGGCACCAAGAGCCCGAAGGTTGATGTGGCATCCCATATTCCGTTCTGTGTTTTCTCGACAGCCAAGAGGGTTGAGATGCCCAGGTAGAATCTCAGCAGATGCCGGAGGTGAGGGCCACGGAGGGCCATGGGTTTCACGTGAGAGTGCACTGCCGGTGTCAGGCCAAACGGCCGCTCATTGCAGGGCTTTCGCCCTTGGCCATGGGCAGTCCAGTGTCGCCTGGTTGCATTTTGCAGCATGTTGCAGCTTTCAAGATGGAAGATCTAAACGAGATACAGGACTTGAAGTTCAGAAGTTTAGCCTGTGACTCTCCGGCTGATTTTGCACTTGCAGCCCTGGAGCCGTCTTAGCTTGTTCTGCCAGGCAGGGCGGCTTCACCTTCTCCCCAGGCGCGCTTGAGGGGTTGGGGGCCCCACAAGTGGGAAGTGGGAAGGCTTCATGCTGCCCAACCTGGCATCTCCGGGACCTTTGGGCTCGCCGGTGGAGCCAGTTTGCATCCCGTCAGAATGCGTGTATTCATTTTGTAATGCGTCCGCCGTCACGCTGTGGTCACTGTTCCAATGCGAGAGCGACCTTGGCCCCAGGCAAGAAGCCGGAGTTGAAGAAGCCGCTTGGCCCATTTTTTGGTTTTGCCCAGAAGGGAAACGCCAGCTTATTGCAGGTATGACCGCGTCGAAGAGCAGGGAATGACTGCAAGGGGACTCACCCCCTATTGTGCATTCAGCCCTCTTTGTGCTCGATCATGACATCCGAGGAAGGGCGTGTCGATCGGGCGGTTGTGATACCGACGTTGCTGTGCGGCATGGCAGCACGCCAGCCCCAGGAGCTCTGAGAGAGTCGCCTCTCGTTTGTTTTTTACGCCTTTTGGCTCGACTGAATCTGGTGCACCGAGCGCCGTGCGCCTGTTGCAGATCCTTTTGGTGACAGCAACCCAATGAAGATGGCGGCCATCCGCCCAGTGCCAATTGCCAATGCATCGTGCACGGAGGGAGGCAAGTGCTGTGAAAGCTGGTTGGCCAGACACATTGCCCACAAGACAGTGATGGTTCCCGTCTTAATACGGCATGGTCCCCCTTGATATGTACAGCCAATTCAATCGCCGGTACAGCGAATGGTTGGCGCCTGCAAAGCGCGAACCTGTAGTTGTTTAAAAAGGTGCTCCTGGCGCTTGCAAAGGTCTTGCCAAGAGGTGCATCACATCCTCTCATTTCAACCTGGCACAGCCTCGCAGGCGGTTCGATGGGCGCAATGCCACAGGCATCGCAAGGTGCGCGCGCTTTGGAGGATGACTGCGTCGAAGGCGAATTTGTGGTGCCAGGCCCGCCGCTCGCCATGCAGGGACAATACATGCCAAACGTGTCGCGACCGCAGATGACCAGCCTGGGGCTCAACTTCTGACATTCGCTGGCAAAAGTCGGCGCAGAAGTGCCCTTGGTTGGACCGAGGTGTTGCCAACCCTCCCGTTGTTGCAGGAAACATTCAATATGGTCCGCCGGGCTCCTGGCGGGGAATTGTTAAAGTCTCGAGCTAGCGTGGGGACTGGGAGTCTTGAGGTCATACAAAATGCAGTACCAGAAGCGCTCAACATCGGACAAGTCGGCAGTGAAGTGCGCCTTTCTGAACTCGTCGGTGTGAGGGCGGTGAGGCTGCGATGGGTTGTCAGTGGTTTGGGTCAAGCTTATTTTTGGCTCTAGGAGAAGGTGCAGGAAACCTGCAATGGCTGTGCTCACTGCCAAACTTAGAATTGTCAGGCACGGAGATACTATGCTACCACTGGATGAGCAAAAAACCCACTGGATGCCAGGCATGCTTCGGGTATCTGCGTGGGCCAGGTGGGAAAAGCTGGACAGGCATGAAGCCCGCGCAAGACCTGAACCGGTCTGAGAACCACGTCAAGACGCAAACAAGTGACAGCGCACCTGCTTGTGTACGGAAGCATTCTTGGAGAAGCTGCAGAAGCAAGTCTTCCTGCGCTGCAAAAACTGGGACGGGGACTGAAAGGGATCGTGCTCTTCCCTCCGCCGGGAGAACCTGAGCAACACCGGGCTTTCAATGGTCAGCTCCGCAGACTTGTTGGGCATCATGTGCGCTCCAACAAATCCACCCTGCCGGCCTTGAGCGCAATCAATTGATGCAGCCGCACATTCCATTCCGCCTTTCTCTTCACCCTGTGAAAGAAGTTGTATTGCTGAGCTGGCGTGCATCTTGGCAGGGATGCATATTCATATTCACGTGCATTTGGGGACGAGCCGGCTTGCATGTGCTAGGCTTCTGGAAGAAGCCAGGGCAGACTCCCTGCAACAGCGGTTTCGCTTGAGCAATTTTGACGCCATCTCAAGCGTCAGCAATACTCACAGGTTTTGGACATTTCGGGCTGCCGTTGCTGCAAGCCTCTACTGCAAGATGTTGCAGCAATTTGTTCCTTCTTACTTGCTCCAGATGGCTGCAATTTTCAGTGAGGCCGAGGAAGGAATCGAAGGACGCAAACAGGTCTTGACCACCCGAGCATTCTGGGTAGGATGGCCGCAAAGCTTCAGCAGGTCCGTGAGCAACAGGACTGCCAAACATTTGCGTCCATCTGTCTGTTGAGCATGCCCATGTGCATAACATCAGGGTTGTGGGATCAAGGGGTTTTTCCCCACTTCTGTGATACAAGGGAATCCCCCTTTTATGAAGAAAATAGTCTTTGGGGAGCCCTTTCTGTTGTATCACAGAAGTGGTCATTCCCCACAGCCCTGCATAACATGGAAAGAGACGATGCCAGGCAAGTGTACATGCCACGGTTAGAAGCGGAACATCTGCTCCAGCTTGGGCAAAGGAACCGGAAGTTGAGGCAGCTGAGATTGCGGATGCCACCACCGGAAAGTTGGCAGCATTTGTATCAGTTGGTTACGGCAGAGCTTGGGGACCGTACTTGGGCATGGTTGAGATGCCATTAGTCGTTGGCAGTTTTCCGCTATCGATGACATAGCCATCGGAAACCTTGTTGGGCGTGCTGACACTGACGCCCCAAATACCTTTTGCCAGCTGCGAGCCGCACTTGCTGGCCAGAATTCCAATTCCGGGCATCAAAAGCAAGCACAGACGGGCCGGTCCTAAGGGAGGGCGCTCCTAGCTATAGAGATCAGCTGTTCTTGCTCCTTTAGGTAGCGACGAAAGATCGATGCCACCGTGCAGGTACACGGGCTTTTTGCCCCTGGAGGGAGTCTACGAGGAGGATACCTGCCGTTGCATTCTCAGCTTACAGGGCCCAGCTATCATAACACCGTCATTGTTTCGATAGGAGACGTGGTGATGCCGCATTGATAGTTTTCGTTTGGTTTTCTCGTGTAACTTGAGCGAATTGGCCCAGGTATTGGATGAGAGGCCTTGCTGGAGCGCAGCCCTGCGAAAGCGCAGGGCTGCAAACGGATCCCTGCCCTTTTTTTGGGACGCCCAGTTTTTTCTTCTTCTGTGGGTCATTGGCAAATTGGTGCAGACGGACTGTTTGAGAGTCAAAAGCAGCAACTTGATTTGGACTGCTCTTGATTTGTTTCGCATGGAGCGGGGAGATTGATGCGCTTCCTGAACAAGCTGCTGTTCAGTCTCACGTGGTGCCCTTGCACTTGCAAGACCTATTGATTTGTGTGCAAGCGGATGAACACAGCGCCCTCATGCGCCACAGCTGTGCAATGCGAAAAATGGAGGTAACAATGCGGGTGTTGCGGAGGGGCGCTACATGTATAGTTTCTGCATGAGAGCGAGAGAGGCTTGCGTTCTCCGGACATGTTCCAGTTGTGTTTGGCGTAAAACGCGTCAGCCATATGGCCGGCTCCTGTGTTTTCCGGCTTTTGCCCTCCACCACTTTGTTCCCAAAGGCAACCTTTCTTGTGGCCAACATGCTGAACAAAGCACAACAATTTAATATGGCGGGGCACTGAACAATTGGCAGGCCACAGTTGCTGTTATGGGGTTTGGATTGTTGCAACCTTCTCTTTTTTGTTGTGATTCCAATATAATGGCGTAGGGTTTTGAATATTTTGTTTGAGTTACGCCCAGTGAATTGGATTATTATCATTACTAAGTACGATCGAACTCTCTCGAATCTAGCACTTTCTGCTTTCCCTAGCAGAAAGTATGATGGTTAGAACTCTGGCCAATCAAGTGAGTTGATTAAAACTGCTTTTTGGTTCCACTCCTCCTATTTGGTGGCGGCCACAGAAAATAAAGGAGAGTAGTTAAAAGAGGATAGCTCAATTCTTACAAGTGACCTAGGTCAAACTTTCGGTGCCTGGAGAAGATTAGTGTAAAGAAAGCTATCAAAGTATACCCCCTTGCCAGCCCCATTTCGGGATGCGCAGAGATCGAACAAATTGTCCAACCCGATAGTTGTGTTTGCGTACCGCTGGAACTCATGAAAATCCTTGTGTTACCTTTTTGGAGTATGGATGGCTTTTGCGAATCGGCCCTCCTCATGCCCGGATTTTGGGCCAAAAGCAAGACCATGTGCATACTAGCATGTTCGAATTGGTAGACCGGCCACCCCAGACCAGGACCATGCTATGATTCCTAGAATGAGGGCAACTGGAAATGATAGAATTTGAATTGAACTCTAGCAATTCTGTTTCATGGTTGCCTGAACAGTAAGCGATCAGACTTGATATTTCCTGCAAGGGCTGTTATTATTACACGGCAAGTCAAGGCGAGTACCGGGTATGCATGGGCTTCGCACGCATCCTTGCCTGTTTCCTCCCTGAATCAAGCTACATGCCAAAGCCAAACAGGCTCAGAACGTTCTGGGAACCTGCTTGACAATATAGGTCTTCTGCTGGACAATATAGGGATTTGGCTCTCAAAGCGCATATGTCATGACGAATTTCAATTCAGTAGTTCACAATCTTGCATCACTTAGCAAACGAGGATGGTACACAAGCCTTGACACGAGACCTTCTTCATTCATGTGTTGGAACACTGATTTATAAGAATTGGCCCCCCAATTCTCATTCCTAGCTGATGTTATCTAGGGGCGACGTCAGCGCACCATGAGCTGGAAAGTTGGCTGGGGCGAGCCTCTGAATGCGGAGCATGCGATTGCCTCTGTGTGCCACCGGAGATTAGATCCGCTGAGTTTGGTGCAGTTGCAGGAGGTGCTGACGGGTCGCTGGCAGACCCAACATCCGCGGACCTGGAGCACGCGATCCACTGGCGCGGCGGTATCCTTGACACCGCTGGCTCCCTGGACGCCGTCTCATTCAAACCTCGAGACCTCCTCGTTTGGTCTGCCGGACGTGCGTGAGGCCACCCGCACGCCGGGAGGGAGGCTTCGAACAGAGCTGCCGGCATTGCCAGGCGTGGAGCCGATGTCGTCACCTTCGGCAAGTAAACATGCGTTCCGGAACGCAACCAGTGCGTTCCGGACGGAATTGAAAGGTTCTGCATCGGTACCAGACTTGGCAGGGCACGATGCACCCAGAGCATTGGGACTTTCAACAGAGGTCCGCAGTTTTCTCCGCTCTCGGCAGTCAAGCAAACCTCATCGCTCTGGCTTGTCTTCGGAAGCAGCATCTGGTGGGACTTCTCGCTGGATTCCAGATTTGCAGTAGTGACAGCTGAGACGCGCGCTTTGGTGGCAGAGTGTGAGAGCTTCTGTTTGCCACAGTTTCACTAGAGGAACATCGAGAGGATGTACCCAAGCACAAACGCTGTAGTTGTGGATGCATCAAGCACCATTGCTCTTTGCTGCACATGCCTTTTGTTTATTCTGTAGCTGTTTGGCCAGCAGACACTCAAACCATGCCAGAATCAATGAGATGACAATTCCACGCACATGTTCATGCCTCGAGTCAGTGTCAGGAGAACACTATTGAGTTGCATCATGACTAAGTACAAAATGCATCATGAATGAATGCCTCACCATTTCGAGACTTGCTGATCTCTCTTTTTTGCTTTCTGCCATCGTCATGATATGCAAGGATGTCAAAGGACAGATGATGTGGAGTGCACTTGAGGGTTCGCTGAAATTCTGGAAGCAGGTGCACTTTCATGTGAACCTGTTTTGTGCGCGGTACATCAGCTGACTGAGTACCAAGTACTTTACTACAGTTGGACAGCGAGGCAAAGTATGCAATGTCATTCGTTGACATGTTTGCAAATCAGCATCGAATCGCAGGTGCATGTTTATGTGCACGCGCTTGCGGGCTTGCTTGAGCTGGAACATGCACTTGTGAGTGTGTTTTCTTGCAAAGCTGCTAGTTCGAATATGAACATATCTTTTGCCGTTTGCAAGGCAGCCGAGTCGAAGACGGATAACGGCTTGGCATGACTGTAGGATGTGCTTCGAATGCTGCTGTGGCGGCCAATCCAGCACCAGCCATCAGATGAGACGTGGCGTTTTTGCTTTATTGTGAAGAGGCATCGGTCTGAGTGTCCTGTATCTCCCGCCGTCTTGGAACCAAGAGCACAGTCGCTGGTGGGCATAGCTGCTAAGAGCAACCATGTTTTTGGCAGCAAACACAGCACCAGCCATCAGATGATATATGGCTTTGTTGCTCCATTGGGAGGAGAAAGCGCCTGAATCTTCTGCGGCCTTTTGGTGTGTCCCGTGGGCTCCTGTGTCTCCCGCCTGCGACCGTCACTGCTGCAGGTGGGACGTTTTGGCGCCCAGAGCGTAGTCGCTGGTGGGCATAGCTGTCAAGAGCAGCAACCTTTTGGTGGCCAACACAGCACCAGCCATCCAATGAGACGTGGCCTTCTTTGCTTTGTTGTGAGGCAGCAGCCTGAAATTTCAGCAGCCTGTTGGTGTTTACCTCGGGCTCCTGTATCTCCCGCCTGCGGTCACTGCTGCAGGTGGGACGTTTTGGTGCTAAGAGCACAGTCGCTGGTGGGCATAGCCGCTAAGAGCAACCATGTTTTTGGCAGCAAACACAGCACCAGCCATAAGATGATATGTGGCTTTGTTGCTCTATTGGGAGAAGGAAAGCGCCTCAATCTTCTGTGGCCTTTTGGTGTGTCCTGTTGGCTGCTGTGTCTCCCGCCTGCGGTCGTCACTGCTGCAGGTGGGACGTTTTGGCGCCCAGAGCGCAGTCGCTGGTGGGGATAGCTGCCAAGAGCAGTGATTTTTTGGTGGCCAACACAGCACCAGCCGTCAGATGAGATGTGGCTTTGTTGCTTTGTTGGGAGGAGGGAAGGGGCTGATTGGGGTTAACCATGGGCTCCTGTGTCTCCCGCCTGCGGTCACTGCTGCAGGTGGGACGTTTTGGCGCCCAGAGTGCAGTCGCTGGTGGGCATAGCTGCCAAGAGCAGCCATCCTTTGGTGGCCAACACAGCACCAGCTATCCAATGAGTGGCCTGTTGGTGTTTACCTGGGACTCCTGTATCTCTCGCCTGCGGTCACTGCTGCAGGTGGGACGTCTTGGAGCCAAGAGCAGAATCGCTGGTGGGCATAGCTGCCAAGAGCAACCATGTTTTTTGGCAGCAAACACAGCACCAGCCATCAGATGATATGTGACTTTGTTGCTCTATTGAGAGAAGGAAAGTGCCTGATTGGTGTGTCCTGTGGGCTCCTGTGTCTCCCGCCTGCGGTCGTCACTGCTGCAGGTGGGACGTTTTGGCGCCCAGAGCGCAGTCGCTGGTGGGCATAGCTGCCAAGAGCAGCGATCTTTTGGTGGCCAACACAGCACCAGCCATCAGATGAGATGTGGCTTTGTTGCTTTGTTGGGAGGAGGGAAGGGGCTGATTGGTGTTTACCATGGGCTCCTGTGTCTCCCGCCTGCGGTCACTGCTGCAGGTGGGACGTTTTGGCGCCCAGAGTGCAGTCGCTGGTGGGCATAGCTGCCAAGAGCAGCCATCCTTTGGTGGCCAACACAGCACCAGCCATCCAATGAGACGTGGTTTCTTTGCTTCATTGTGTGGAGGCATCGGCCTGAACTTCCTGTGGCCTGTTGGTGTTTACCTCGGGCTCCTGTATCTCTCGCCTGCGGTCACTGCTGCAGGTGGGACGTCTTGGCGCCAAGAGCACAACCGCTGGTGGGCATAGCTGCCAAGTGCAGCAGTCTTTCGGCGGCCAACACAGCACCAGCCATCAGATGAGATGTGGCTTTGTTCCTTTATTGGGAGGAGGGAAGGGGCTGATTGGTGTTTACCATGGGCTCCTGTGTCTCCCGCCTGCGGTCTCTGCTGCAGGTGGGACGTTTTGGCGCCCAGAGTACAGTCGCTGGTGGGCATAGCTGCCAAGAGCAGCCATCCTTTGGTGGCCAACACAGCACCAGCCATCCAATGAGACGTGGCTTTTTTGCTGCATTGTGAGGAGTCATCGGCCTGAACTTTCTGTGGCCTGTGGGTGTTTACCTCGGGCTCCTGTATCTCCCGCCTGCGGTCACTGCTGCAGGTGGGACGTCTTGGCGCCAAGAGCACAGCCGCTGGTGGGCATAGCTGCCAAGTGCAGCAATCTTTTGGTGGCCAACACAGCATCAGCCATGAAATGAGACGTGGCGTTTTTGCTTTAGAAGGCATCGGCCCGAATCTTCTGTGGCCTGTTGGTTTTTACCTCAGGCTCCTGTATCTCCCGCCTGCGGTCACTGCTGCAGGTGGGACGTCTTGGCGCCAAGAGCACAGCCGCTGGTGGGCATAGCTGCCAAGCGCAGCAATCTTTTGGTGGCCAACACAGCATCAGCCATCAAATGAGACGTGGCGTTTTTGCTGTAGAAGGCATCGGCCCGATTCTTCTGTGGCCTGTTGGTTTTTACCTTAGGCTCCTGTATCTCCCGCCTGCGGTCACTGCTGCAGGTGGGACGTCTTGGCGCCAAGAGCACAGCCGCTGGTGGGCATAGCTGCCCAGTGCCGCAATCTTTTGGTGGCCAACACAGCATCAGCCATTAAATGAGACGTGGCGTTTTTGCTTTAGAAGTCATCGTCCCGAGTCTTCTGTGGCCTGTTGGTTTTCGGTCACTGCTGTGGGACGTCTTGGCGCCAAGAGCACAGCCGCTGGTGTGCATAGCTGCCAAGTGCCGCAATCTTTTGGTGGCCAACACAGCATCAGCCATCAAATGAGACGTGGCGTTTTTGCTTTTGAAGGCATCGGCCCGAATTTTGTGTGGCCTGTTGGTGTTTAGTTCGGGCTCCTGTATCTCCCGCCTGCGGTCACTGCTGCAGGTGGGACGTCTTGGCGCCAAGAGCACAGCCGCTGGTGGGCATAGCTGCCAAGTGCCGCAATCTTTTGGTGGCCAACACAGCATCAGCCATCAAATGAGACGTGGCGTTTTTGCTTTTGAAGGCATCGGCACGAATCTTCTGTGGCCTGTTGGTTTTTACCTCAGGCTCCTGTATCTCCCGCCTGCGGTCACTGCTGCAGGTGGGACGTCTTGGCGCCAAGAGCACAGCCGCTGGTGGGCATAGCTGCCAAGCGCCGCAATCTTTTGGTGGCCAACACGGCATCAGCCATCAAATGAGACGTGGCGTTTTTGCTTTAGAAGGCATCGTCCCGAGTCTTCTGTGGCCTGTTGGTTTTTACCTTAGGCTCCTGTATCTCCCGCCTGCAGTCACTGCTGCAGGTGGGACGTCTTGGCGCCAAGAGCACAGCCGCTGGTGGGCATAGCTGCCAAGTGCAGCAATCTGTTGGTGGCCAACACAGCATCAGCCATCAAATGAGACGTGGCGTTTTTGCTTTAGAAGGCATCGGCCCGAATTTTCTGTACCTCAGGCTCCTGTATCTCCCGCCTGCGGTCACTGCTGCAGGTGGGACGTCTTGGCGCCAAGAGCACAGCCGCTGGTGGGCATAGCTGCCAAGTGCCGCAATCTTTTGGTGGCCAACACAGCATCAGCCATCAAATGAGACGTGGCGTTTTTGCTTTTGAAGGCATCGGCCCGAATTTTGTGTGGCCTGTTGGTGTTTAGTTCGGGCTCCTGTATCTCCCGCCTGCGGTCACTGCTGCAGGTGGGACGTCTTGGCGCCAAGAGCACAGCCGCTGGTGGGCATAGCTGCCAAGTGCCGCAATCTTTTGGTGGCCAACACAGCATCAGCCATCAAATGAGACGTGGCGTTTTTGCTTTTGAAGGCATCGGCACGAATCTTCTGTGGCCTGTTGGTTTTTACCTCAGGCTCCTGTATCTCCCGCCTGCGGTCACTGCTGCAGGTGGGACGTCTTGGCGCCAAGAGCACAGCCGCTGGTGGGCATAGCTGCCAAGCGCAGCAATCTTTTGGTGGCCAACACAGCATCAGCCATCAAATGAGACGTTGCGTTTTTGCTTTAGAAGTCATCGTCCCGAGTCTTCTGTGGCCTGTTGGTTTTTACCTCAGGCTCCTGTATCTCCCGCCTGCAGTCACTGCTGCAGGTGGGACGTCTTGGCGCCAAGAGCACAGCCGCTGGTGGGCATAGCTGCCAAGAGCAACCATGTTTTTTGGCAGCAAACACAGCACCAGCCATCAGATGATATGTGGCTTTGTTGCTCTATTGAGAGAAGGAAAGTGCCTGGTCCTTTTGGTGTGTCCTGTGGGCTCCTGTGTCTCCCGCCTGCGGTCGTCACTGCTGCAGGTGGGACGTCTTGGCGCCCAGAGCGCAGTCGCTGGTGGGCATAGCTGCCAAGAGCAGCGATCTTTTGGTGGCCAACACAGCACCAGCCATCAGATGAGATGTGGCTTTGTTGCTTTGTTGGGAGGAGGGAAGGGGCTGATTGGTGTTTACCATGGGCTCCTGTGTCTCCCGCCTGCGGTCACTGCTGCAGGTGGGACGTTTTGGCGCCCAGAGTGCAGTCGCTGGTGGGCATAGCTGCCAAGAGCAGCCATCCTTTGGTGGCCAACACAGCAAAGGCCATCCAATGAGACGTGGTTTCTTTGCTTCATTGTGTGTAGGCATCGGCCTGAACTTCCTGTGGCCTGTTGGTGTTTACCTCGGGCTCCTGTATCTCTCGCCTGCGGTCACTGCTGCAGGTGGGACGTCTTGGCGCCAAGAGCAATACCGCTGGTGGGCATAGCTGCCAAGTGCAGCAGTCTTTCGGCGGCCAACACAGCATCAGCCATCAAATGAGACGTGGCGTTTTTGCTTTTGAAGGCAGCGGCCTGAATTTGCTGTGGCCTGTTGATTTTTACCTCAGGCTCCTGTATCTCCCGCCTGCGGTCACTGCTGCAGGTGGGACGTCTTGGCGCCAAGAGCGCAGCCGCTGGTGGGCATAGCTGCCAAGTGCAGCAATCTTTTGGTGGCCAACACAGCATCAGCCATCAAATGAGACGTTGCGGTTTTGCATTAGAAGGCATCCGGTGGTGGGCATAGCTGCCAAGTGCCGCAATCTTTTGGTCGTCACACAGCATCAGCCATCAAATGAGACGTGGCGTTTTTGCTTTAGAAGGATCGGCCCGATTTTTCTGTACCTCAGGCTCCTGTATCTCCCGCCTGCGGTCACTGCTGCAGGTGGGACGTCTTGGCGCCAAGAGCACAGCTGCCGGTGGGCATAGCTGCCAAGCGCAGCAGTCTTTTGGTGGCCAACACAGCATCAGCCATCAAATGAGACGTGGCGTTTTTGCTTTAGAAGGCATCGGCCCGAATTTTCTGTACCTCAGGCTCCTGTATCTCCCGCCTGCGGTCACTGCTGCAGGTGGGACGTCTTGGCGCCAAGAGCGCAGCCGCTGGTGGGCATAGCTGCCAAGTGCAGCAATCTTTTGGTGGCCAACACAGCACCAGCAATCAGACGAGATGCGGCTTTGTTGCTTGCTTTTGCCTCTTCACTTAATTTGGCTTCTGTAACTGCCTTCTGCTTCTTTTTGCTTGATGACTGCGCTTTAATGACCGTAGTATCTTGTTGCGTCTGCCGAGTTCGTGCCTGATATTGTCAGGATGCACGTGGGAGCTTGGAAAACCTGGAGGCCGCGCGCGGGCGGAGACTGCGCACTTGCTGTGTTTGGTTGCAGCCAGGGGCTTCTGTTGCGGGCCAGAATGCAGCCGGGAAGCTTGAGGACGGCATGGGCTGTGCTGGGCCTCGGTGCCTCCTTGGAGGCAGAAGAGTTGCCTTGGCGTGAGGGGTCTGGCAGGACTCCCCAGAACCTGCGGCACCAGAACTTGCAGGCAGACGTGGGACCGCGGGACTGCGGGCATTCGGGGCGAGTCTGGCATGGATTGGCACGGGCCAGGATCTCGACGCGCGCCAGATGGCGGAGGCGTGTCCTTTGAGCCGCAGTCAAGCCTGGGTGAACGGTTGGTGGACTTTGCCAGCCACACATAGGCGGTTATTCCCTCCCTTCTTGAGACCATCTTGCCAGGTTTCCCTTGATTTCGGGCGGTGCCGTATTTTTGACCCTGTGACGTTTTCGTGGCGGATGTGCCGGGTTCGCCAGGATCTCTCCGCGGATGCGGCGGCGCGGCGCCGGCAGCAGCGGCAGCAGCGCAGCCAGCAGCTGGAGGCCAAGGCGCACGGCTGGCTGCTAGGGGTTGGGTGGTTCTTGATGCCTGCGGGGCTGGGGCTGTGGGGTTGGGTGTCAAAAGGGTCTTCACTTCTCGCAGCCAGGCGCTGGACGCTTACACCAAGTTTCAGGCAGTGCTCTCGGCCGCTACTTTCCACCAACATATTGGACCAACATGGTTCCCTTCCGGCCTGCGTGTCTGTGATCGAGTGCACCCTTCTTGGAGTCTTGGAATGGGTTCAATGGAAGGTTAAAGGGGAAACCCGAGATCACCTGCGGTACTTTCGGCTTTCGGGGCTCCGTCCATTTCAAGACAAACCACGCGACCTCTTCGCAACCCTTAGAAGCTTCCAGGGGGCCCTGGCAGATCACCAGCAGCAGATGAAGCGGATGAAGGAAATCTCTGAGCGCGCCCGGCGCCCGGCACGCAGAGTCGGCATGAGTTGTGAGACGAGGCTCTAGTGAAGATGTGCAGTCTACGGTCCATTTAGTGTTCATTTGCCAGGGCCATGGGTGGCAGTAGCGCCGTGACGGAGCTTTACAAGGCATTGACCGAGTGAAAGCCGAGGCTGAGCTGCGCCACGAGCGGCTTTCGCTTCTGGTCGAGGAGGTGCGGTGGCGGCACCTCCGCATGGTGGTTCCGAGGGGAAGGTTAATTTGCCATCACCTTCCTGCTTTTGCAGGCGAATGGGATGTTCTTGGAGTTCCATCCGGAACAGCCGGTCTGAGACCTGATGTCAGAAGAATCTCTGCGAAGTTAGGAAGGGCAGCAATGCCTAAAATCCAGTGTTTCAACTTCATTGACTTGCTGAGGGCTTTGCCTTTACACCGGCTCTCTTTGCAATTACGAGCAAGTGAGCCTAGGGGCGTGAACTGGGTTGTGGCTCATGTGCTCCCTGCTCCCGATCACAAACATGCCAGCTTTGCAAGATGTCACGAGGTGAGAAGAAAGCCCAAGCTGCTCCATGTGGACTGGCAGCCGCCTCGCGTCATCGATGTCGATATAGGCATCCCGTCGAATGCTGGGCTGCAGGGCTTTGCTTCGTCCGTTCTGGGTGGAAGTTGGCCAGCCGAAAAAATGGATAGCCTCCAGCTTTGGCCGATGCCCACGCTTGGCAGGGAGTGCAGCATGGCCTGCACCGAGAAGAGTGAGCGTAGAATATCCAGGGAGTGCGGCATGGCCTGCATCGAGAAGAGTGAGCATAGAGTATCCCGGGAGTGCGCCATTGCCTGAATCGAGAAGAGTGAGTGTAGAATATCCGGTGGAGCCGCTTGGCAGCATGTTTTTCCCTTTCTTGTCCAGCCAAAGCTTTTCTGTCAAGATAGATGGTGCCGAGGCCAATCTGCCCAACGGAGCCTTTGGGCCGCCAAGGTCGGGCCTCGGGCTGGGAGCTAGATCCAGAGCCCATGGACCTGCAGGAGATTGCAGGCACGAAACCCGCGTGCCGGGGGGGGGGGGGGGGGAGCCCTGCCGGCGATATGTGCCAAAAAGTGCAGGCTTGCGGGTGGTGTCAAGTGGAGATCTGCAGTCTGATGCCCAAACAGCGCAGAGCGCTGGCTGTAGCCACGAGTCGCCAAGGCTCCCGAGCACGGTGCCATCTGCGCAGGCTGTGAAGCGAGGCAGCATGCTGGTGCCCTCGCCGCATGTTTCCGCCCGCTTAAATCCCAGCCAAGTGTAAATGATTTTTTGGACAGAGATACACAGAGATGCAATCAAGGGCAAGCTTAGGTCACCGAAGATTCTGACTCTGTTTCGAATTCACCAACATCTCCATCATCCCCAACGCTTCCGGTTGCCGGCGCATTGCTGTTCTGGTCGACTTGCCTTTCTGCCTGGAGCCTAGTCTTGGCCACAGCGTCATTTTGTGTTGCCCGTGTTTTTTTTTCTTCTGAGGGTGGCTTGCGCCGGGTGTGCCAGCGGCGGTCTCCGTCTGACAGTGGAGATGCGAGATGACCTCAGCATGCATCTCACCCCAGAAGATTGGCTCTTGGGACGCACAGGTCAGCCGGCGGACTGCCAGAATTTGCCTTCGAGGAGATGTTCTCAACACAACTGGTGCGCTCTGAGTGCAGATCGGGAGAGTGAACAAGATTCGCTTCTTGGCGCCAGTCGCTCACTGGCCAGCTGGAGCAGGGCCGCTACCGGAAAGTGACCTTCGTGGCATACTACCCAGAGGCGCTTGCTCGGGGAGCAAAACCGTTCCCTCCTGTTTGTGCAACGTTTGGTTTTCACTACGGCCGAAGTCAAAGTTTTTGCCTTGCTTTCCATGGTGCTTGTGGAGCAAGCTATACTGGAGCAGGTCTTTCGAGATTTACGGGTGAACGCATTTGGAGCGCGCTGCTCAAGCCAAGCTTGAATTTGTGCAGAAGGATGCTGGAAGTTTGCGTGAGGTTGGTATTGGGCACTGGGACCTGTGTGGCCAAGGTTCCAGAAGAAAGCTTTATGCGCTCCATGTGCGACGGGCCACTTTCAGGTGGGCAGCAGGCTGGACACTTTCCACTTTTCGAGCCGGCCTTCAGCCCGTCGCAGCAAGCTCACATCATTCTCGTTCGACCTGGGAAAATGTGTGCAACGTCTCGTTCGCCTGCGAACTGCGAGGGCGAAGGGAAGAGCGGCATGCTCTTTTTCGCGAGCCGGGGGCTTGGAGGTCACAGACGGATATATGCAGAATGGTCGGAGGTCAGAGTCTGTCATCTATGCGCACTCACCCGAATACCACTAGGACATGGCGAGTGGGGGGGGGTACTCAGCAAATTCCAACGTCATTCAAGGACATGATTCCACTTGATTCTTGATCTAGCCCCCGAGGCTGGGACAAGAGGTATTTGGCCAAGACAGTCATGCCCAAGGAGGCACAGAAGTGAAGTGTCGCGTTGCCCCATGTTGGCTGACCGTTCAAAGGCCCCGGTTGGTTGTTCTGCGCGATTTGTCCGGACGGCCCGCAGAGTCTTCCAGGTGACGTTCTTTGCAGAGCACCTGGCAGCCTACCACGGCCACATGAAAGGCGCATGGCGAAGCTCGCGGAGCTCGCGTGATGTTGTTGTTGTTGTTGCGCAGCACATGTGGAGACATGCAAGGTTTCATGAAGGGCGCATGGCCGAACAGCCATGGCCAGCAGCCAAACCATGCACTGGCACCAACTGAACGCTGATCTTTCTGAGTAAAACACACGGTTTCTGCAAAACGCATGTTAGTCCCGTTGAGCTAGGCCGGCTCAAGCCCGGAGCCCACAAGTTCAGGTATTTTTTTCCTGTGAAGTACACGTGCGGAGGTAGTGCCTCTGCCTTGGGACGCGCAAGGTTGCTCTGTGCACATCAGCGTCCAACTTCCCTTTGTGGAGTTCGGCGCACCTGCCCGCGGATTGGGGCCTTTGCGTGTGTACCACCCTGACAAGCGTCGCTTCGGGTCTTCCGAAGCCAGCAGAACTTTGCCCGCCTCTGCTGCTCGAGCGTAAGACATCAAGACTGAACTGGACCTCATGGCAGACATTGACCGACAACAGGCCTGCTTCGAGCTTGAGAAGGCTTCGTGCAAGAAGTCCTGCGCAAGTTTGTTTCTCTGCGCGCAAACTCCAGTTTCGTCAGAGTGTTTGTTGTGTCCACGAAAATGTTTGTTTCGAAACCTTTGTTTTGGTAACGCTTTCCGCGGCGCAGCGCGCCATCGCGGCTCCGCAGACTTGGCTCTGTGCTCGCACCCTTCGTAGGGTTGGTTTTTGGGGTGGGTTTAGGATAGGTTCGGGGTGGGTTTGGTTGGTGGCTTGTGGGGTATGTTTTGGTTCAGCGTGGGTTCCATTTTGGGAGGGTTGTCATGGTGGGTTTACGCTGGGTTGAGTTGGTTTGGTTGGTTACTTGGGTGTTTAGGGTTGGGGGTTGGTTCAGGCTTATACCCGCCCAACACCCGGGGGTTGTTTTAGGTTTGGGGGGTGAGGGCTCCGCAGGTTAAAGGGGGCGGGGTTATTTGTTTTTTTTTTTTTTTTCCTGTTTTTTTTTTTGGGGGGGTTGGCAGCGAGGGAGTGCTGTTCATTTTGTCAGCATTTCGCAGGCATGATCCTGCATTCAGTTTCAACACACTTTGGTGGCATTTGAGTGTGCGATTTACCCCGTGCAACTGTTGTTGCGCACGTTGCACGCATTTCTGTTTGACTTTCACATGCGACCGATATGCTGTGGTTGTGTATCTTGTATGCATTTTCTATGCGTGAGTCCTATGCAATTGTTTTACGCCTTGGGGAGCCAATGGAAGAAGGGAGACACTGCTGGAGAAAGTTCGTGTTTACAAGCCCAGATCACAAAGCCGAACAACGGGCTTTTAAAGCAGCGAGGGGGGTTGCGGGGGGTAGGATTAGAAAAGCAGATGAAGCCACTAAAAGAGGAAAGCGTAAGGAAGCAAGGAGCACAAAGCCGAACAACGTCTACCCGCCCTTTTTCGCAGTTATCCCCTGCAGTTGTTGTTTGAGCATCCCGCCCCCCAACAACATTCCCGCACAATTAATCCCTTCCTTTTTCGATCAGCTGTAACCCCTCCCCCAAACATTCAGGGCGGAGTTTTCCGGAGCCCCCCCTTCACACTCTCACTCACTCAACTCACACACACTTACTCTCGCTAACTTGCACATACTTTCTTGCACTCATTCAGCACGGGGCAAGAGACAGAGAAAAAGACCGAGAAAGAAAGAACAAGCGAACGAACGAAAGAAAGTTTGAAAGAAAGAAAGAAAGAAAGAAAGAAAGAAAGAAAGAAAGAAAGAAAGAAAGAAAGAAAGAAAGAGACAGAGACAAAAAAGGAAAAAGGAAAACAAAGAAAACAAGAAAGAAAGAAAGAAAGAAAGAAAGAAAGAAAGAAAGAAAGAAAGAAAGAAAGAAAGCCAAGAAAGCCAAGAAAGGAAAAAGGAAAACAAAGAAAACAAGAAAGAAAGAAATAAAGAGATAAAGAAATAAAGAGAGAAATAAATAAATAAATAAAGAAAGCAAGAAAGAAAGAAAGAACATAAATAAATAACTAAATAAAGAAAGAAAGACGGAAAGAACGGAACGGAACGGAACGGAACGGAACGGAACGAAACGAAGCGAAACGAAACGAAACGAAAGAACAACATATTGAAAAAGAAAGAAAATCAAATAAAGAAATAAAGAAAGAAAGAAAAAGAAAGAAAACAAGAAAGAACAAAGAAAGAAAGAAAGAAAGAAAGAAAGAAAGAAAGAAATAAAGAAATAAATAAAGAAATAACAAAAGAAAGAAATAACGAAAATAAGAAAATGGAAAGAGAAACAGAGAGAACGAGAGAAAGCGAGACAGGGAGGAAGAAAGAGAGAAAGAGAGAAAGAGAGACAAGAAGAAAGAGAGAAAGAGAGAAAGAGAGAAAGAGACTAAGAGAGAAATGCAAGGAGAGAAGGAGAGAGACAGAGAGACAGAGAGAGAAGGGAGGAAGAAGTATGAAGTATTGTGGGCGGTGAAGCGGAGGGCTTGTCAGGTCCATGACTGTGGCGCAGTTTGGCGGCTTCATGGCCAACTTCAGACAAAGCCCGTTTTTTTTTTGGGGGGGGGCTGCGCGGCGAGTTCCCGCAACTACTACCTGTTGTTTTCTCTGGCG